CATTCAGTATATTCAGGTAGTCAGTTGACCTCATTCTTTGAGCACATACTGTTGCTGAACCTAGACCTGACCAACTGCAGCAACCCCAGATCATAACACTGCCCCCACAGGCTTGTACAGTAGGCACTAGGCATGATGGGTGCATCACTTCACCTGCCTCTCTTCTTACCCAGCTGACAGACTAACATCTTTTCCACGACCATGGGATGTGTCTTTCGACATGGTTGTTTAGGAAATGAGAAGCAAGTCATTGCACCAGTTGGGGTTAAATAACTTGTTGCCAGCTGAAAGATAATCGCCCATGCAGTAATTATCCAATAGGAGGCTCGTACCTATTTGCTTAGTTAAATCCAGGTGGCGACTTTTTTTTTGGCCAGGCAGTGTACGTAAGGAGTCATTCTGCTGCTTTTGTCAGCAGTCACATCATCAACAGATACAAGAGAACCAGTTCCACTGGCAGACATTCATGGCCACACTACCCCACCATGCTTCACTGAGGAGGTGCTACGCTTTGGACCTGGAGCAGCTCCTTCCCTTCTCCATCCTTCTCTTCCCATCATTCTGGTACAAGTTGGTCTTTGTCTCATCTGGCCAGAGGATGTTGTTCCACAACTGCACAGGCTCTTCTAGGTGTTTTTTCCTAATCTGGCCTTCCTTCTTTTGTGGCTCACCAGATGTTTCCACCTTGTGTTGAACCCTCTGTATTCACTCTGGTCAAGTCTTCTCTTAACTGTTGACTCTGACACAGATATGCCTACATCCTGGAGAGTGTTCTTGATCTGGTCAGCTGTTGTGAATGGATTTTCTTGAACAGAGAAAGGATTCCTCTGTCATCCACCACACATGTTTTCCTTGGTCTTCTGGGTCTTTTGGCGTTGCTGAGCTCAGCACTGCGTTCTTTCTTTTTAAGAATGTACCAAACAGTTGGTCTGGCCACACCTCGTGTCTTTGCTGTCTCTTTGATGGGTTTGTTTTGATATTTCAGCCTAATGATGGCTTTCTACACAGTCCCCGTTGATGGTTAGTGGATCAGGGTCTGCTCGGTTTCTTGAAAAGTCTTTGATGTGTTCTTTTGTTTTTGTTTTTTGGTTTTTTTTCGACTTTATTTATGGATTTTTCATTTTACAGATTGAACATAAACACACCCTTAATACTCCCCAACCCCCCAGTTACCCTCCCATCCCATACAGATACACTAACAAAGACAAGGGAGACAGGAAAAACAAAACAAAACCAAAAAAAATATATGTACATTCATATATATGAAGATGAAATAAATAAATGTATTGCTCCTTTACAAGTGCAAATATCTGTGAGACAAGCTTACATCTTACTTACTTGATATTCTCACTCTATACATATGTATCAATAACAGTAGCTTCATAATAGACTCAGATTTTTAACATAGACAATAAAAGAAGACCAGATCACCCAAAATTTTTCAGGACGGTTTTCTCTACTGTATCTTAGCTTTTCCAGCTGCAGCACGGAGAGCATTTCCTTAATCCAACTGTCTAAAGATGGAGGTTTATCCGATTTCCACTGGAGAAGAATGGTTCTGCGGGCTATTAAGGATGCAAAAGCAACTGCTTTCCCTTGTAGTTTAGAAACAGTGATTTCTGGAGGAAGAATCCCAAAGATGGAAATAAGTGGTGAAGGTGGGACTTTTTCCTTGCAGATATGAGAGATGGCCTCAGAAAAATTAGCCCAGAAACTTTTCAGTGATATACAATTCCAAAACATATGTCCCAGAGTCGCTGGACTATGGTGGCATCTGAAGCATGCAGAGCTAACATTGGAATATAACTTGGAAAGCTTATCATTTGAATAATGCAGGCGATGCAAAACTTTAAATTGAATTAAGCTGTGTCTAATACAAATAGAGGAAGTGTGAATCCGTTCTAAGCAAAGTTGCCAAGACCTCTCAGAGAGTTCAATACCAAGGTCCCTCTCCCAGGATAGTTTTGTTTTGGTCCATGATGGTGAATTAGCACCCTGAATTTTGATATAAATTTTGGAAATATTGCCTTTTGTATACGGGTGTAATGCTAGTATGTCATCCATTATATTTTTATTGCAAGGTTGTGGAGGATTAAAGTGTTTGCCAATGAAGCTTCTAATTTGAAGATATCTGAAAAAGTGGGATTTAGGGATATTGTATTTTCTTTGTAGTGTTTCAAATGACATTAACATTCCTTTAGGAAAAAGGTCTTTAAAAAAGACCAAGTCACATTTATGCCAAGTTTTAAGTGCAGAATCAGTTCGGGATGGTAGGAAAAGGTGATTATTTAGCAAAGGAGAAAATAGGGAAGAATGAGTAAAATGAAACTGTTTTCTAAACTGAAACCAGATTTTCAGGGAATGCTTTAGGACTGGGTTAAGGACCTGAGGATGTGAACTTACAGGAATTGAAGAGCTCAATAATGAAATAGGATTAATGGCTGGGTCGTTATACAATTCCATCTTGGCCCAGACAGGTCCCTGGTCGTTACGCCATGTGGAAATCCAATATGGTAACTTACTTATGTTTGCAGCCCAGTAGTAAGAAATGAAATTAGGCAAGCCTAGACTCCTAGCTGATTTTGGTACCTCAAGAAACACTCTTCTCATTCTTGGAACCGTTTTACACCATACAAATGAGGAAATCAAGTTGTCAATCTCTCTAAACACATACTTAGGTAGAAAGAAGGGAATCATTTGAAAAAGGTACAAGAAACGAGGAAGGATTGTCATCTTAACAGTATTCACTCTTCCAGCTAAGGAAATGGGCAGTATAGACCATCGTTCTAGATCCTGTTTTGTTTGTTCTAATACGGTCTTGAAGTTACGTTGAAAGAGATCCTTATATGAATGTGTAATTTTAACTCCCAAGTATGTGAATTCTTCGGCTCGTTTGAAAGGAAAAGGGCTAAAGTCCATCACCGCTGCCAAATGGTTAATAGGGAAGAGGATGCTCTTAGAAAAGTTCAGTTTGTATCCTGATATTTTGCCATAAGATTCTAGTATGTTAGTGAGAACGGAAAGAGATTGTATAGGGTTTGATAAGTATATTAAGAGGTCATCTGCATAAAGAGA